GGCCACGTGCAGGGGCGGGAAAGCGGCGCCCGGCCTCCACCAGCGCGTGGCTGCGGCTGCAACCTCGGGGCGGGCGGTGACCTGAGCACGTGTCGCGCGCGCGTGTGCCCGTCCGTGTGTGCGTGACCTGAGCACACATGGGGGGTGTGTAACACGCAGTGTGTGTGAGTGCACCACCGGATCACACATTGTGTGTGTGTGTATAATCTGATCACGCATGGTGTGTTTGTGTGTGTAACGTGATCACACACTGTGAGTATGGTAGCATGCATTGTGTGTGTGGGGAATCTGATCACACGTGTGCGCATGTGTGTAACCTGATCATGCATGGTGTGTGGGGGGGGGGTGAGACCTGATCACTTATGGTATGTGTGTCTGGGGTATGCAATATCACATGTGTGTGCACTTGTATCCTGGTCATGTGTGTAACCTGATAACGCATTGCATGTGCATGTTCTTGTAACCTGATAACACAGTGTGTGTGTGTGTGTGCGCGCGCGCATCTGCGTGTGCGTGGAATAAGTTAAAACCTGGCTTTCCAGGCAGAAGTTGTTTTTTATTGAAACTACTCAGTAAACACAACGGCCGAGACATGTCATGCTAAGCAGACACTAGAAGCGAATGTCCTTTAGAACAACGTTCAGGATCCGGCCCCTCCAAGGGAAGATCTTCAGCAGACAAAGCCATATCAAGTAGTGAGATACAGCTGTGTCCTACAGAATGGGTAACGAGAGCCTCGTTCTATATGTGTTTTTTCTTTTTTTTTTCTTAGAAAAATCCAAGGACCGATGGAACCGAGGACAGCTAGTCATTCAACTAAGGGATAATACTACATGTTCCAGTTGCAGGAGAGATTTTATGCAATGACACAGCCTCCTTTCTCCTTAAAGGGATTCTTATCTTCAGGAATACCCTTAACCAAAGGATCTTCGCCAGATCTTTCTTCAATGTAATTCTTGATCTCTTCAGAACATTTGGACACCTTAAAGAAAAGAACAGAGATGATTCTGCTTTATAAATGGCAGTTGTATTCCCCATTAAAATAAGACGACAACCATTTACTTAATAGTATTCTGTATCTCTTATAGATAAAGCATCTGATCATGAAAATGCTCCATGTCAGGCACAAAATGGCTGGAGAATTAGTCCTTAAGTTTAAAAAAAATGGCTGGAATAACCTCCAAACTTATTCAAACTGAAAGTATTTTTAAAATAAAGTTTGTTTTATCTAACTCTGTGCTGTAAGATGGGTTGTTTTGCTTCCAACCCAGCCAAAAATGTAGGATGTGTCTTCCACAAGTCTGTGTTCCTCATGAAGACAGAAGACTATCATTTTAAAAAATGGCTAATAAGGTCTCACTCTTTGGGTACTAAACTTGAGACACTTTTTAGAAGTTAGATATTTAGAAAGAACACCTAGTGTCACATTATCCCAGCTCTAGAGCCTTCCTGCTGATGTCGCATAACTGGGACTCTTCAAGGGCTTGGAGGTATAGTGGGAGGGAGAGTGCTCAGACAATTACCCCCCCGATAATCAGACTTCTTTAAAGTGCCTGAAGTTATGCCCCTCCAATCAGGTATCACTGACATTTTAGCTAAGTTGTACTTGTTTAAAAAAAATGCGCAACTCAAAGATGTATCTAGGGCTTTTATTACTCAGTAGCAATTACACTCCTGTACGACTACCTCTGTCTTTAATAAGATTATATAAGGCTTAGACTTGCAGTTGCTGCAGAGAAATTCTCCACTAATTTCAAAATCAAAATAAAAACATGCTAATTTACTTAAATTAGGATCATAAAAAACTCCCCTTGAGCTCAGTGGAACTTGTGGACATGTTTTGCAGGATCAGTGAAATTTGAACCCATTTTTTAAGTTTCCAAAGTCAGTCTCATTTCACATGTTTTTCCCCAAAAAAGTAGTTCAATAATCTACTTGTCATAACAAAAATCATCATAGTATAGTGCTACAATAACAAGCAGGCATGTTGAATGAAAGAAAAAAAATGGATGCGGAAACACATTTCCCCTACGGGTTACCAGAGGTTAGCACAAACAGCAGTTAGTAAAACGTCTGATAAATTATGAAAAACACATTGACCTTGTCCTTAGTGGTATTCCAGTTGTGTTATGAATGAATATTTTGCATGAAAAATTCATAGCAAAGTAATATGTTATCTGTTAACATGGGGCTATTAACTCCCTTCCCATTGAGAAAGCCACAATAAAGGAAAAAACCCGGAGAAATGTTTGGTCTGTATTATCTAACGTGGAGGGGGTGGGGGGCGGGTGATGGTTTGAGGCCATGGGTGTCATTTGCAAGCTAATGTAACTTGAACATCCATGGACAACTCAGATTTTGTGGATCCCTCATGCTTCGGTCGCCATAGTTCCCCTCTTTCCCTTGGCCACATAATACTACATACAATTGCAGTGCCGTACCTAGACTCCTGGCAGCCCCGGGCGAACTTTTAGTATCAAGCCCCCCTTCACCAGAGACAATGGTTCTTTCGTTGCAAGCGTCTTTATCACATCTGTGGTATCGATGTCTTCAAATAATTTGTTCTCAATTGATAACATTGCCAGTCCCGTACATGCACAATACTAAGACTTTTTTTCCCCTCAACTTCCCCCCCCCCGGCATTTTTGAGCCCCCTTTCTGTCCGTACCCCGGGTGGCCACTCAGTTCACCCATGCCATTGTCTGCATCTGTACCAGTCGCAATTTTTCACTGGTATGTAGTGCTACATAGAACAGATGTTTCCTGTCTCCTCCCTGTCAGTCCCAACATACCCCTGAATGCCTGCAGAGTGATAGTTACCCAGTCAGCAGAAAGAAGCTTTGACAGACTGACAGACTCTGGAAAGGGGAGAACTTGACATACTGGGTGTTCTTTGTCTTGTACTAGATTAGGGGATTTACCTTTCCATTCTTTACTCAGCTCCTCGGGATACCATCATGACAACAGAACCAAAGGATCTGAAACACTTAGGAGAGGCTCTAATGGACTATAGACTATGAACAGTTAAACCTTAGGCCATAAGAAAGAACCTCTAATTAGAATAAGATCTAATTTCTCATAAATTATGACTGTCTCACTGTACAGAGCAACTTGGGCTACAAGTCTTAACACGCATGCCTATCTTTCCCACCATTAGCAGACCCATTGATTTCAAGTGGGACAAACAGAAATCAAAATCAAGTGTCTGAGTAAGTTTTTGCTCTGAATAAGGACACTATTTTATTTCAGTCCAAAAGATGAAGATTCTGTTATACTTTGGTAAGAATCTCTGGATTTTTCCCCCCCAATGAGGATTACTTAATAGGAAATTTCATCACTAGATTATGTCACAATACTATAGAGGAGGGAATTTTATATTCCATTTAAGTCAAGTAGACTTAAATAAGCACTTTTGCTTTTGAAAGGTGCGTGGGATATAGATTATATGCATGCATAAAACTTGTATGAAAAAATGTGTGATATTGTTAAGGATAAATTTCACTAACAAAAGTAATAAAATGAAAGAGTGACAAAAGAAAAATTAAGCGCAACAGTAGCCTACCAGTTTCTACATCATGCAGGACCCCCAAATATGCATTCCCCATGGCTCACCAAAAGCATCCGGGAATGTCTCCTTGCTAAAAAGGAGGCTTACACGCAATGGAAAGACGGGGTCATCATCAAGGAGGGCTATTCTGCAGTTGCTCGGGGATGTAGGGGGTAGTTAGGAAGGCCAAGGCAGAGATGGAACTGGGACTAGTTTCCCAGATTAAGGACAATAAGAAGTCTTTTTTTAAATACATAGGGGGTAAAAAGAAGGTCCCAGGTAATGTGGGGCCCTTGCAGGACGAGTTGGGAAACTTGGTCGTCACACCAGACGACAAAGCTAACATGTTTAACGATTTCTTTGCCTCCGTCTT